GGGGGGGGCGGGGGGGAGGTGTCCCTTTTTTTTTCCTTCTTTCAAATACAGCCTAAATAGATAAATGTAACTGTACCTGCAATCAAGGACTGCCGTCTTCCTCCTCCAAATAATGCACAGTCAGGAAAGGGATGGGTCATGTCCCTCCCCATACTCCAGAGCAGAGTCAGAGCATAGCAAAGCAAGCAGTCCCACTCTAAAGACTGGCTAGCCTGTGGGCTCTGAGTAGCCTTGGAGAAAACCATGCCTCCTGAAATGCTCTACAATGAAGACCCATGTTTCCTCATAACTCCTGTTGCTACCATGTACTGCCAGACTTGCAAACCTCCAAAACTGTTGGCCATGGCACTCCATACCAAAAAGTGAATGCTGGAGAATTTTCAGTGGTAGAAGTTGCTGGGCAGGGCTGAGGTCGTGGACCGTTCCTGTGAAACCACACTTCTGACTCTGCTGCCCAGACATGCCATGTGCTGTGTGTTGGGAATTACAGTCACAGATTTTACCTTTCTGCAGCTGAGCAACTCCCAACCGTTTCTCCATCAGTTCCTGCCAGCACAAGCAGGGACTGAAGGAGGTGGTCCTCACGCTCCCCTCCCCTGCCTGATGTTCGTGCTACACTGTTCTGTTTCCTCCCTTGCTCTGGCCCAAGTGCTCACATCTTCTGGACGAGACTGAGACTTGAACCAAGTTAAAGCTAACTTTGTTTTTTTCTTTCCCCTCTGGATTAATTTTAAATCATGCCTACTCCTTTATCCAATTCAGCAAGTACCTGCACAAATGCTGCTGCCAGCACAGAGAAGGGGACAGCTCAGGTGAGGGAATGAGTGACTGTGAGCTGTGCAGGAGAAAAGGGAGAGAGACATTTATTTCAGTGGCACAGCAGCTTGTGCTGTGTTAAAGTTACTGTGAAAGTACAGCAAAGTCACCAACTGTCATCATCGTGTCTGAATGGATAACCTTCATCCTGCCCCCTTGTATTTACAGTGCGACAGATTCTAGCCATAGTACATTTCTTATATATAGCTAAAATTGTGTAAGAAATGCATAATTTTAGGTACACAGGTGGAATGCATGGGATGTTTTCATTCCAAGATTGCAGACCTACAAATACCTAAGTATGGGTAATTTCACCAATTTCTGAAACCAATAAATTTTGTGATTTTGTACAAATGTTTCTAGAATCTCTATCTTACTTACAAGAAACAAACATTCCCCGTGAAAATATCTGGCTTTAATTTCTTTAACCATAGTCACTGCACTTGCTGAAGCAAGTACCATTCACAGCATGACACAGCTATCTATGAAATAATTTAACTGCATCATGCGCAGTCAGCAGAAGTCCAACACTAATTTGGAGAAAGTGACTCCATACTGTCACTCACTGTCTGAGCTATATATTATGCTGCAACACTTCTCCTTTCCTTCCTATCTATCGTAAAAATATGGGCATTTTTTCAATTATATCAAAGTATCCCTTGTTAACAACACATGTCTACATTTGATTAAAAAAAAAGATGTGTTTTTTTTAATGTGTCATTTTAATCTTCAAGAGTTCAGCAACTATAAACCACAAGACGAAATATCAATAGCATAAGCAGGTGCCCTCACCACAGGTAGTTAAATGGTTCTTCATTGTTTAATTTGACCAAACACTTCAGAAAGAACTTGATTCTATTCGGTGACAGTGTACATGAAAAAGTTAGCTATGCAAGAAGCTGAAATAATCACCAACCTTGTGTTTTGCAGCAAGAGTTCGAGTTCTGAAGCTTAGTATCCTTGCTACATGTTGTTGTGTGTAAACTCTCTATAAGGACACTATTACAGAAGAAGAGCTTCAGGTGTTTTAGCAACGACGAAAATGCAAACTCTCACAGCTGCTGCTTGAATGCATGTAGACGGAGTAGCACATCTCTCGGTTGTCTGTGCGTGATGTATCCAGGTGGCAAATCGACCAGAGCCTGCCTTTCCCCAGCACTCCTGGCTGCAGCAGGATGCCCTGGGGGTGTGGAGCACAGCGCATGCTGCTCACGCCAGGCCATCTTCTACCCGCTTCTGTTTTAAACTGGGCTCCTCCCCACAGTAATCTGTTTGTACTTTTTCAAAGGCAAAAGTACTAAATTTATTCTAATTTATATATGTTTGTAACAGCCATTACTCTGGGAAACTTACAGTTGTTGTACAAAGGTGTGTCAGAAGGATCCTGACATCTAAACCTTCCTAAATAACATAACTTAGCAACAAATGTTTTAACTTCTTTTGAAAACTAAGTAGTGCATGGAATATTACTTCCAGCTGCATATTGCAAGTCACTGGGAAGAAAAATATCTTGGCCTAATAAAACCTAGGAAAGACTGGCAATGAGCAAGAGAAAATCTTCTGTCACCAGAAAATAGTCCCAAAGTTGGAAAAGTATTTTGGAAATACATATTTATTATTCATTTTTTTTACAGAGAATAACTCTTAAGTAGCAAACCTCCCAGGTATATAATAATCTTGGCTCTTAACAGACAGCTATTAATGCCCATGATATAATATCACTTATATCAATTTCATTGGTCCAGCATTGACCAGAGAAGTCAAAAAGTAAAAAGATCAGTTCCCAGCTCATGTGGGAACTGATCATATTCACAAAGTGAATAACCATCCCTCTGTACTTCTAGTACAATGGAAAGAGCTGTGATAGTCATATGGTAAGGAACAACTCAGTCTCTCCCAAGTGCTACACAAGCTGTGTAGCTTGCTGTTCAAAAGGGTAATAAACAGTCCTTTTAGTCTGGCCAAAGCAATAAGAATAGACGTGATTCAACGGCACGGTAGCGTAAGCGTGTCACTAAAATGTGGTCTTCTGGAAACTGCTTTTAACACAATAGAACTATTACTTGGCCAGCACAGTTGATGGCCACGTGGTTTTGTTGCCAAGAGTTGTGAGAATCAGTAGAATCAGAGATTGCTGTAGAAATGTGAATGTACTTTTTGACGGTCTGTAGTAATTCTGTACATCTCTTATGTCTGTGTTCTTATAGCCACTTGGGCACTGAAGTAGCTGAAATGAGAAAGAGGCAGCAGTCACAAAATGAAGGAACATCAGCTGTGTCTCAAGCACCTGGAAACCAAAGGCCCAACAACACATGTTGCTTTTGTTGGTGCTGTTGCTGCAGCTGTTCATGGTATGTCCTGTAGTATATTTGGTTCCATATCTACCACAGGTAAATGATGAGCATGGAAAGTGCCAAGCACTGGGAGCATGAAAACTTCTGGGAGAGGATTGCTGCCAAGAGGCACAATTTAACATTTCACTTAAAAATTTGATTAAACAATTCCCTGATTTGGTTGGACATCTTGTGAGGGGGAAGAGGAGAGAATAGTAAATTCAAGCTATATTTACCCTACTTAAACCATAACTAAATGAGGAAATTTCAGTTGTAAAACTAGTATGTGTGAATGAGACACTTGATACTGAATATTTTATAATTTCCATTCAAAACATTTTTTCTTCTGCTTGTACTTTTGATATTGCAGTTCTCTGCATTCAGGAGGGTAAAAGGAAGATGGTCATAAATGTGAATATACAGTGACCCATTTTACTACTTGGTTGTTGAAAAATATATATTCTGTAAATCTGAAAAAAACTTTATCTTTTAACCAGTGTGGCATAATTTTAGCAGAAAAAAGGCTCAAAAATTGTAGCTGCTTGTCTCTTCCTAAACAAAGAGTTCACTTGGAAAGTCAAAGAATTAAAGCCAGTTTCAGAAATAGCTTTAAATTCTCAGTGTCTTGAGATGCATCAGGTCTTTATTTCTTATTTTCGTGAACACAGTTAGTGTTGAAATATAAAGTAATTGACATGCAGTGCTGTTCAGAGCCTGTGCATCCTGTTACATACACAGTTCAGCCTTTTTGGAGTGACCATTCCTCTGTGTATCTGTGTTATTTTCACTTGAATCATCCATCTGGCCCCAATCTAAAATCTGAGGCTATTTGCCCCCAACATATTTAAAAATACATACCAGCATGTATGCACCAGGCATCAAATGTGACAGCTTTTTCCAAATGCCACATCCTGGAAGCAGTACCAGGGTGGACCTGCCTTGGCTGTTACTTCCAGTTTCACCCGGAGGCAGAGGATATTTGGAGCAAGGATGAGCGAGAGCTCATGCTTTTTCGAAGTTACTTTGCAATGCGTTAAATCCATACAGCAAAGAGGTGGAAGTGTATTAAATGGGAAAAAAAGGGAGGATGTTTTGCCACTGTTATCTCTGCTTTGTGACAGCACAATGTAAGATTAGCTATACTGTTACAGACCAGAGGTTCATTTAGCTCAGTATCCTATTTTAGGAAGTGACCTGTAGCGGATGCCACAAGGAAAGGATAAAACAAGTGGACGTGTACCTCCTCAACCTACTCACAGCAAAACTCCTCACAACTTCTGGCAATCTGCAACATAGGGACTTCCTGGCCCAGAGGTTATTTCTGTGTGTTTTATAGCCCTTGATGGAATTTTCTTTCATTAATTTGTCAAACCATTTTCTGAAGTGACTTCCTGAACTCATCTAAACTTTTGGCATCCAGAGTTTCCCATAGCAATAAATTCTACAACGGACCTGTGCACTCTGTGAACTATTTCTCCCTTTTATTTGTTTTAACCTCCTACATGTTAATTTCATTTGATGCCTTCTTGTTCTTATGATTGTGAAGAACAGTGAAAAATTGTTACCAGGATGATCAAGATTTTATAGAGCTCTCTCATATCCCCCTTCAGCTGTCTTTTCTTCCATAGTCCTCTCTATTTTAATCTCTGTGATACAGAAACTGACCCAGACCATGGCATGTCCTTATCTCTCTTCTATGTATCCACCTACCTTGTGTCTCTCTATGTACCTTTCCTATTCTATAATCTCCTGAGATGTGTGACTAGATCTGTTGCAGTAGTCAAGACATGGGTGCACCATGTTTTGTGTTTGCTCTTGATTTTTTGTTATTAATTCCCAGCACCATGCTTTCTTTTTAACAACACCTGAGATGACGTTTTCATAAAATTATCCACCATGACTACAATATCTCTTTATTGAATGGAAATAAAGCCCATCATTGTGCATGTACAGCTAGGGTTGGCTTTTGCCTTGAATACTGGAACATGTATGGCCATAAAAGTATCAGTCTAATTTCTAAAACTTAAAGACGACTGATTTTATTTTTTAAGCATGCTATAGCTCAAGAAGTCTTATTTAACAACTAAACTCTATTTTGAAGCTTTCATGAGCTTTGTGACCCTTGGAGTGCCTCCACTCCTTAGAATGCAATACCATTATATATTTGAACAGCTTATGCATATTAAATCTAAATTAGAGCAATTACTGCTTTAAAATGTAGAATGTCCTTTCAGCTGCTTTAGTAATTGTTTTTGCTGTTAATATCCTGTCTTTTGGGGGTTGAGGGTTTTTTTTTTTTTTGTAAAGTAGATTAGACTGAGCATGGAGAAATCCTGTCAATTTAAGCTAGTTTTCAGGATTAAGTCAAAGAATGGGTCAAGGGGGATAGTGACATCACTTGCATTTTCTAAAATCAAAAAGGTAGAACAGATGATGTAATAAGTCTTTTCCAGCTCTATCTTCTGTGATTCCATAGTGGAAACTCCATTAGAGGAGAGATGGGACAAAACTTTGAAAAAGACAATATGAAATGTTTCAAAATCTCAGTTAAAATTAAGTAATTGGTTCTGGTGCCAAATTTGTTTGGTAAATTCGAACTGTCCAGTCTGTACTGTAGAGTATGGATTACTGTTCTTGCCTTAGTTGTGTACCCCAAAAAAGTACAAAAATAATTTTTAAAAAAAAAGGTAACAAACTTTACTAGTCACTCATTATATAGGGGATTCTAGATAGGTAATTCTCTAGGGTAGTTCTCTGTAATAGGAAAGCCTAATCGATAATTGTAACAGATTCTCTGGACCTAAAGTAATTACATGCTTTCCCTAGTTCCACAGGTCTTTGTATTTCAGTAACATGAATTTCTCAAGAGATACCTGTCTGGAAATGTTGCTGGATTCATTAATGGTGATGACAGTACTTTAAGTGTCAATATCAAGATTAGGAGACTTTTCTTCTGTTTTTCCACCACCCTGTGTGACCGAGGACAGCTCTTACATCACTAACCTTTTAGTGTCTCAACTTCCTCACCATTCATAGAAATAGTGGGGGAGGGTATGTGCAGCTTTTAGTAAGAAGCTTTCACTTTTATCTGTCTGAAGAGTTAGTTCAATAGTTCATATATCCAAACAAATCATTAGAATTCTAAAAATATCTTTTGTGAATCATGTGATGTTTGTTTTCTTCTGTTCCACCCTGTGTTAAAATCAGAATAGGCATTAAGTCTTCTGCTTGCATAACAGCATAGACAAATATTCACACCTTTGTTTGGGAAAATAGTACCTTGCCTAATAGAGACTTGTTAACAGCAAAAAGTTAGGTCAAAAAATTATTCAGTACATCTTATTACAAACTTTTTTTTTCCCCCTCTAATAATTCCTTCTTAAAGGTAACAAATATTGGGAGTACTTTTCCATTGTTGTGGGATAACCCTGGTAGGCACCTCAGGCCCACACAGCCGCTCGCTCACTTCCACCCAGCGGGATGGGGAAGAGAATCAGAAGGCTGAAAGTGACATAACTCGTGGGTTGAGATAAAGACAGTTTAACTGATAAAGCAAAGTTGTGTCCACAAGCAAAGCAAACCAAGGAATTCATTCACTGCTTCCCATCGGCAGGCAGGTGTTCAGCCATTTCCAGGAAAGCAGGGCTCCATCACGCGTAACAGTTACTTGGGAAGACAGACGCTACAGCTCTGAACCTCCCTCCTTCCTCCTTCTTCCCTAGCTTTTATTACTGAGCACGATGTCATATGGTGTGGACTATCCCTTTGGTCTGTTGGGGTCAGCTGTCCCTTCCCAACTTCTCGTGCACCCCCATCCTGCTCACTGACAGGGCAGCGTGAGAAACAGAGAAATCCTTGACACTGTGCAAGCACTGTTCAGCAGCAGCTAAAACATCGATGTGTTATCAACACTGTTTTGGTCACAAATCCAAAACACAGCACCATATGGACTGCTATGAAGAAAATTAACTCCATCCCAGCCAGACCTGGTACATCTATTGGCACTGATAATGGTCAGGACAGGAAATTGTTCAGTTTACAAGGACAAAGCAGGGCTGATTACCAAGGTTTGGTCAGATTGGAAAAGATGGAGATAAACAGGCTGCTTAAGTTGGCCATTTTATCATAGCAGGTATGGTCAGGATGTTGCCCAACTAGCTTAAGCCCTGAACTGGTGCCTGAGCATCAGTAGTGAAGGAAGCAGTCCTCCTCAGTGGAGAAAATAAAGTGTTTTTGAAGTTCCCAACAGGAAAAGCCTGTCCACTTACCACAGAGGCAGATGATATATCCCTCTGGAGATCTTCTACAGGACCTTCCTCTCTCCACTGACCAGATACAGACCTTAGGCGCTTATTTCAGGAAGACTGCCCCACTAAAGCATTTAACAGAGAAGTACCAGTCAGGTAGCTAAGGTGCCGGACTGAATCTCACCCTGTGTCTTGAGCTTCCACAAAACACCATTCCCACAGAGGACAGAAGAAAAGGCTTCCTTACTAGGTGTAATTTCAAGGACTCAGGTAGGCCGAGAGTTGCAAAATTTGCAGCAAGACTCCTAACATGACAGTCTATAATTTCCTCAATAACACTTTCTCCAGAGAGCTTCGCATTTAGTATTTAGTGCTATGGCTTTACATTTTTGAGCTCAGCTTGGTGAGGTAAGGGTAGTAGCCTGCTATTTCACCTCCCCAGCCTTATTTAGCAGGCCGTTACTCCAGCTTCCTGAGCAGACATGAAACCAGTCATTCTCTTGCAAACACTTGCAAATTACATTCTTCAAAAAAACTCTCAAGACGCTAGCACAGGGAGGTTGGCTATTCTGCCAATTTTATCTTACTTCCTCTTTTGTCTCCCACCCAGAGCAGGAGTCATATCTTTTTATCCTCTCTTCCTCATAAGGTGCTCAGTGAATTTTAAAGCTGTGGGACATTGCGATGCCCGATAATCCTCTCCTTTTACCACACACAGGAGGCTCGGAAGGCATCTAACATCTGCCCTGCAAGAGACCTTAGCAGTACAGG